ACACATGGCTTTGGGGGCTATTTTAGATCAGAACCGTAGCAATGAGGGACTAGAATAGTCACATAGCATTCATGGGGCTAGAAACTAGAACGGCCATTGCCAGGGCCTGGGGGTGGGGTGCAGTGGGATGGAGAGTTCTTGCTTGGTGGCTACAGATTTTGGTTTTTCAAGATTTTAAAAAAAAGAGTTCTGGAGATAAGTGATAATGATGGTTGTAGAACAATGTGACTGTATTTAATGCCAATGAAATGTACACTCAAAATGATTACGATGGTAACTTTTATGCTATTTGCATTTCATTATACTAATATATACATAGCAAAGAACTAGGTGGACCTGGGATTTAGCCCCACCTGCCTCGAAAGTGCAAGGTCCAGAGTTCGATTCCCAGTACCAAAAAGAAAAGGAGAGAGAGAGAGAGAGAGAGAGAGAACTAGTGAACGTTTCTTAACCTTTCTTTCATTATAGCCCCCGCCCAGATACTCCCTTCAGACATTTTTCCCATTCACCCTCCTCCAAAGAAACACTATCAGAGAAATGCCCTATACTTATGTACAGAGTGTATCTAGGCTGTATGTAAAGAAAATAATATTTCATTTTTTTTCCCTCCAAGAACCACTTTCACCCTGGGCATCATCATTTTCATATTAGCTCAGGGCTGGCTAACCTTTTAGAGACGAGTGCCCAAACTGCCACCCAAACCCACTTATTTATCACAAAGTGCCCACACTGCAACTAAATCTGAATACTGAGGTTTTAGTTTAGAAAAAACAACTACATTAACATCTTTTGTCCTAAAAGAAAAACACAGTAACAGAGCTTTCATGATACGAACCTCTTTTTACTGAAAGGTAGAAGTTTGCCTTTGATGTGCTTTTTGCACAATTAACGTGATCTCTGCTGTTGTCTGTGTGCCAATAATCTGTCAAACCTTGGCTATAGTGACATGAAATAAAAACTTAGGAGAATAAAGCACAGAATTTTGACTGGTATATGTTAAAAGTACAGGTAAATATCATAAATCATAAACTCAAAGAAATCTTTGTCCAAAAACTCTTTTTTGAATGTATACTTTCATCTACATTATTTAGCAGATACGTTCTAAATACTACTGTATATTAGTAGTCTCTGTGCTAATGGGAATACAGTCATGAACAAAAACAGTGTTCATTGTACATTGGAACTCAGTGGGTAGATACTGGTCAGAAGTCACACAAAGAAAGATAAAACAGTAACATCAAAAAATAGAGGAGGAGGAGAAGGAAGAGTGAGATTTTTAGTGCTATAAGGGCAGAGGAAGGTAGGAGTTGTTCCTATGAAAATGATGATTGAGCTGAGGCTGGAAGATAAAGAAGCCTTAAGTAGACAGAAAGGAGAGGGAGACCATTCCACAGATCGGGGACAGCCTGTGCAGAGGATCTGTGCCCCCCAAAAGCACAAACCCTTCAAGAAACCAAAAGAAGACATCATTGGCGGAGGTATAGCAAGCCAGGTAGAAAGTGATGCAAAATAGGAGTAGCTCAGGGATTCTCCATCTTGGCCCTACTGACATCCAGGGTCTGATAATTGTTTATTGTGAGTCGTTCTATGCATTCTAAGATGTTCAGCAGCATACCTGGCCTCTGCCCACTGGGATAGCGCATCTCCAAGTAGCACCTCTCCCTGAGCTGTGGCCACAGAACATCTCCATATAGGCCAAAAGTACTCTGGAGGTCAAAGTCACTATCAGTTGAGAAGCAGGGAGAGATGGGCGTGGCCAGATTACGTAGGCCTTGTTAAGGAGTTTCGCTTTAATTTGTGAGCAGCAGGGAATCCATTCAGGAAATTAAAGGGGAGAGGAGGGTGACATTTCGAACCACTCCTCTGCCCGCAGTGAGTAACCTGGGGAAGAAGGAAAGCCCAGGCCAGAGGGGACAGAGACCAATTAACAGCCTAGCTCATCTCCTAGACCGGTACTTTGTGAAGGATAATCACAGCTTGGGCTGTGACTGGGGTGAGACTGGGGTGGTGCTGGCGGAGATGAAACAAAGTGAATGAATTTGGAAGATAAGGAAAACCAGCAGGGCGGGGTGATAGACTGGACGCACAGGGTGAGGCAGAGACATGAAGAACAAGTTGTGCCAGAGCAAGTGGGCGGATGATGGTGTCATTTATTAAAATAGGGTGGAGATGGCCTAGGTTTGGGGAGGTAGACTGCAGTGTTTCAACGTGTTACGTTTGAGGGGCCTTCAAAATAACCCAGGAGTACGTGCCAAACAAATAATTGGATATGAGGGCCTAGAGCTCGAGGAGCTGCAGTTTCAGATATAAATGGTGGAACAAATGTTCTAAAGATGGCATCGTGGCCTTGAACAGGGTGAACATATATGTCATCTACTGGGTAAGGAATATAGGCTGAAAAGATGAAGCCCTAGGTGTGTCTTGAGAGTGGCCATTGTAAGACTTAAGTCTCACTTTTACTCCTGGAGCGTGAACAGCCAAGAGGCTTCCACGATGCTGGGCTCAGAAGCTCAGTGAGGCTCCAGGAGCTTGTCGGACAGCAAGAGTCACCCAGGAAGGAATACACCAGGCAAGTTGGCAAATAGACCTTTATTAGTCTGGCCAGACGGCACTCCCGAAGCCAAGTAGCTCAGAGAGGCAGCCAGCTAAGAAACAGAGGCCATTTTATATAGGGCTAAGGGCGGGGGGTTAAACTCTGGGGGGGGGGTTGCACTCAAAACTTACAGGAAGGGGACAAAGGCAAAGAATCAGTGGATCTGAGCTAGTGGTCATCAAGCATATACTCGACCGTCATGTACTAATGATCAGCAGATCGATTATCCATTATTCCATTTACAACTTAGATTATAATGTTCAGAACATTCAACTACAGGCAAGCAAGGAGTGGCGTGATTGATGTTGGGTCTCTGTGTTCACTACAGTTTCCATTTAGTTTCCCAGCTACTTCAAAGCAGTTACCTAACAATTCACAATTAATCATTAGTTATCCTATAAGGGATGGGGGGAGCGACAGTCTCTAGGTTGTAGGAGTCGCTCTAGTTCAGTCAGACTCTTACAGCCCTTACTTAATGACTTCATAGAGAGGACTACACCTCAAGGTGCAGAGAAGGAATAGTTACAAAGCTGTCAAGACTCAGGAGAATGTAGAGGCACAAATGTCCAGAGAAGAAAGTGAGTTAAGAATCCCCATACTGGGCTGGGGATTTAGCTCAATTGTACCACACCTGCCTTGTAAGCGCAAGGTCCAGAGTTCAGACCTCAGTACCGAGAAAAGAAAAATCAGACAGTACTAACTTGTATTGGGCCCTGAAGAAGTCACAGATGACTTGGACCAGGGATTTAGCTCAGTGGTGCAGTGCCTGCCTGGCAAGCACAAGGTCCTGGGTTCGATTTCAGGTAACCAAATACCAGAGGAAAAGAAAATGCCACACAGATGACTAAAGGATGTCTGTTGGAGAAACAGCAGAGGACATTGTTGGTCTCTTTGGAGGGTGGTGTAGGTGGCTTGATGGGGACAGGGACCAGATGAGACTGGGTTGAGGAGTAGGAGGTGAGGAAATGGAGGCAGAGCATAGACTACATCTTGAGAGGTTAGACCGTGCGAGAGAGGAAAGACACTGGTAAAGGGTATGAGGATGTTTTTAAACAGGAGGAATGTGAACGTGTTTCAGTGTCTATTGGGAAGATGTGCACAGAGAAGGGATGCTTCTGAGAGGGGAGGAATGGAATTCAAAGCATGGGCGATGCCTTGGAAAAGGAAGGCAGAAGGGAGAGCTGGGAGCATGGTAGAGGGGTGAAGTTGAATGGCTTCTGCTGAGAGTGGGGAGTTACCAGGCACAGGAGGGAGTGAGAATTAGTAGGATAACAATTCTCAGGAAGCACTAAGCTCTCAGGTATCCGAGAAAAATAACATTATTGAAATATCCCTTCCTGAGCCGGGCAGGGTGGCACACTCTTGCAATCCCAGCACTTGGGAGGCTGAGGCAGCAGGATTGCTGTGCGTTTGAGACCAGCCTGGGCTACATAGTGAGTTCCAGGTCAGTCTCAACTACATAGTGAGACCCTGTCTCAAAAAACCCAAAAAGAAAAGAAATACCTTTCCTGGTACTAGTTTCCTAGCACTGCTACATCAGAGTGCCACAAATTGAGTAGCTCATGACAAGAAGTAATTTATTTTCTCATAGATTGGAAGGCTGCAAGTCCAAAATCAAGGTATTGGCAGGTCTGTGAGGTCTGCAGGATCTAGAGGAGATCCTTCCTTACCTCTCCTAGCTTCTGGTTGTTGCTGGCAATCCTTAGCAATCCGTGGTACTTCTTGACCTCCAGATGCACAGTGCTGATTTTGACCGTCTTCGCATGGCTTATCCCCCAAGTGTGCCTCCACATTTCCCTCCCTTGGAAGGACCTCTTTTCAGTTTGATTACATCGACAAAAATTTACATCCGGTAAGGTCTCATTCACAGGTTCCAGCTGGACATGAATTTTGGGAGGCACTATTCATCTCGATACATGAGACTGTGCTAATAATGCATTTTAGAAGCGCTTATCGAATTAAACAAAAATGTTTTGAATAGCTAATGTTGATGATCCCAAGTGCCCCGCAGCTGTTGTCATGTATGATATTTGCACTATCACCATGTTGTAGCTGAGGAAATGGGAGCCAACAGTAACCAAGTGGCTGCCCCGGGGGGAAATCCTGGCAGGGCCAGTACTTGAACCAGCATTGCCACTCCAGCGATTGCCTTCAGCAGTAGTCTCAGCTTCCCTTGTCTAGATGCTCCTGAATTGGTCAGAAAAACAAACTCATCAGCTAGTCATCCACTACCATTCCTTGTCATATATTTTTCTCTATATAACTGCCTTTTTTCATGCATTCAGAATGTCATCTTTGTGCTGACAAGCCAACAGTGTGGGAGAAGCCTGCTGCCTGGCCAGTTTGCTCTGGGAAAACATAGCTCTCTCTTTTCCAGTGACTTCTGGGCTTGGTTCTCTCTCCTCAGGTGCATAGCATCCAATTCCTGGAGTTCTCCGAAGTGGAGAACCAGGAAGATGACTACAGTGTAAGTGCTGGCTGTATCCACACCCGGGACCAGCGAGGGGCGTATATCGTATATGACGAAGCCTTGACGGATCTGAAGGAGCTCGGAGCAGAGCTACTGCTTGTGGCCAGCCATTATATTGAGAAAGAAAAAGGTAAGAAGTCAGATTTTTAAAAATCACCGGGTTAAACAAACAAAAATCCATAAGAGCTGTATTTAATTCCACCAGACATACAAGTACATACCCAGTAGTGTTGATAAATTCAGTAAGTACACACTACCCCATCCCCTAGAACAGATACACTTCTTTTCCTAGCTCCTGTCTCCTTTTGAGGCAGAATGTGAATAGTCTTTTATAGGGATGTTTCTCTATCAGCCACTGTGTCCAGGGGATGCACTGCTGGGCCCTGAAGGAAGCAAAGGAAGCTGATGAAACAAGTGATTTTTTTTTTTCTAAGCAACTGACCTTGAGGAAACTGCATTTAGCGGCAAAGACATCCTCGGGTTCCTAACAGGAAACCACCATGATGCAAACAGATCTGGCAAGGAAAATGCCAGACAAGCCCCAGAGGGAGGAACCATTACTCAGGGTAATCAAGTAACCCATAATCTGTGTTCTCTCTTCTTTTGGCACAATCATCTAAAATGTCCAATTTTAGAAATAGATGAGGTAAGAATATTTCTTTTGGAATAATATGATAGCATTAGCATTGTACTTGGAAAGAGCTTAAGACACGTTGAAACACCTTACAGGGAATTTAGCAAGGGTCTGTGTTATTTTGTAATACGTACAGACTATAATTAAGGGTAATTCGTGTTCATAGCGCTATGAAATGCTGCTTAAAGAATGTTTGACAGCTAGCTTTTCGGGTCCCAGACTAAATTAATTTAAGATCTGTCCTCTTTGCTACAGCCATTGGTATCTGAATGGGATGCCGCAATTCCAGGGCCTTTAATTTCAGCTCTTAGCTTTTATCTTTACAGATTTTCCTCCGTACCAATGTGTCATTTTTGTCCATATTGATTTATAAATACCATGCTACTAAAAATTTATTCTGACTGAAGCACTTGGTCAGTGGATAGCTTTAGCTGAGCTTGTATGCATGCAGTCACACATTGTAAAATGATTTCCCAGTTGGACTGGAGAAGATCCTGATCAAAGTCTTTCTCTTGCTAAGTTCCAATCATGTGCTTGATAAGTATTCAGTTGAGACTTTAGCTCTTGTAAATTTCTTGCTTTCTAACAATTTCTCTGAAACAGGCCACTATTGATTTTTAGTGATTAATGTAATTAAGGAGCATCTTGGAAACTTTTCTGAAGCTTTTTGACCGAGCTAACATTAACGGAGAGAGCATATTAAACTCAGTTTGTTGTTAAACCACCAAGGACTGCTCTTTGAAAAGGAGAAATACCTGTTGTACTTTTAAAATTACAAGTTTGAGGACATCTTAGCATAGATTTTGTGTTAGCTAAATTTTGAGTTTATTTCTAAAATTAGCTTCTAATCGGGAAAGTGAAAATAAGAACTGCTGACTTAGAAATCGACAAGTATGAACTTAGTGCCTTGGCTTTGCCAAGGGAGCTTTAGCTGGTTTTTCGTAATTCTGGTGTCTGGAGTATTATGTCCATTCCTGAGGTAGAGCTGACAGTCTTAGGGGCACATCCTACCGGAAGCAGCTTCTTTGGAAGGCCTGTCTCTAACCATTCCAGCCTCTTCTACCAGGTCACAGAGAGGGCAGCCAGTGGAAGGGTAACCAGGCCTGGGGATGGACCCACGCAGAAGTGGACAGATTTGCTATACTGTACGACCTGTGGACTTGGGAAGCAGCTCTTCTAGAAAACAAACACCAGGTATTTTTTTCTTTTTTATGAAGACAAAACAACTGTTAAAATTCATTCTTATAAAATTTGGTGATTTTCTTTCCTTCTTTCTCTTTTCTCTCTTTCTCTCTTAAACACAGTGGGACTTTTAGGGAAACTCAATAAAGCAGGTAATATAGTCTCAGCGAAGTACAATATAAGGATGTAATGAATCCATTGTCTTTACTGTGGTTCTTTGTCACGAAAAATAAAATGTGAAGGACGCGCTTTATCTTGCATGCATATTCGTTAGAGGACCTGATGACTTTGGCCTTTCTTATCATAGTGTGCTCTCAGCTCCGAGAATGGACGATGATGCCACCCACACGTGTTATCTAGTCACAGGGACAAGTTTCACTTTGCTAAACACAAACCCACTGACCGAGTCATAGCCTCTAAGGCACTCGGTGAAAGCAGCTGGGCCAGGAGTGTTGAGCGCAGTGTTACAGGGTGAGTTTAAAGCAATGGGACAGCAGGTTACGAAATCACCAACCATGTCATTAGTGGCTTATATCTCAATAATTAATGAAACACTGCTGCTGTGCTCCTCTTTGCTTGCGTCTTTAGCACGAATTAGTTGCCCTTTTGATACTCACCAGTTGTTAGGAGTTTGTTGAGCAAGCACTGAGGACTTTTAGGTACTGTTCCAGGCATTAGGGACGTAGAAATAGCAGCCGATCTCTATTTTTGGGGGATTTGTAGTCTATAAAGATTCATTCAATATCTAGGCAAAAAGTATAACCCAGGGGTGAATGGGACATTCGGAAGCCATGGGGACCCTGGAGGGAGAGATTTATCTTGCAGAAGGGGGGTGTCCGAGTGGAGAAAGTGCTAAGTCTTCTTAGAAGAATAAGTATTTAATCTTGTTATTACAAGAGCAAGATACTGTACGGCAGAGAAAATGAGACATTTTTAAGCAGAAGACGTATCATTTACAATGCCATGGTGCTATTACATGGGAATGTCCGGTTGGAATCCTAAGTACTTCTGTGGCTAGGACCTAAAGGCATGAGAGAAAAGGATCTAAAGTTGTGAGGGGAGGAGACTATAAAAGATGTGTGAATTGCGCTATTTTAGGGTTTCTCCTATCAGCAAAGATGAGCCATTGGTGAGTTTCCATGGATAAGAAATGTGCGTGTAGCTTTGTTTCCAGCTGTGTTGGTGTCAGAGTGCAGAATGGATTGGAATAGAAAGCCCCGGACAAAAAAGAAGGGCAGTTATTGCAACAAATACCTGAAGAGTTAGGCAGGGAGAACCTTCCGTGAAGGATGTGGCAGTGAGAACAGGAGAGAAGCACAAATTTGAGAATACTTTGAACTAGACATGGCAGGATTTGAAGACCAGATCCGGATACTAAAGTAAGAGTGGGAGTGGATTTTACAGCTCTTCCTCAGGGTCGAGAAGGAGCCTGGAAAGGAGCCTGAAGCCGAATGCAGAAGGAAGAAAGGTGTCTTAAAGGGGGAAGATAATACTGAGTGTAGGACACAAGGCACTTGAGGGGGAGTTGTTAAAACACCAGGGGAAAACGTTTCGTGGGAGCTATAGGTTTGAAGCTTAGGAGCAGGCGCGAAGTGCAAGTTCCTGAGTTCGATCCCTGATACCAAAAAAAATAAAATGGGGAAATGGAGCCACATTAATGATCGAAACGAATTGGGAAAGCTAGAGACGTCTGAATGGGTCCCTGAAAATGCTTTCATTTTTCAGGAGCAAGTCCCAGAACTAAAAGCAGTAGCCAGACAGACTGGAGAAAATCCAGGAAGACAGCCTTGTGAGAGCCAAAGGAGCGTTAGACTTAGGGAGTAAGTTGCCAGTGTGCAGCATAGTGGGACGTCCGGAGAGATGACTCCTAGAAGCTAAGCACTCAGCTGGCCAGTGGCAGCTGTCACAGTCTCCTGGGTGGAGACTACAGCCGCTGTGATGTGGTCCGAAGATGAGGAAGTGGAGGTGGTTTTCTTTGAATTGTTTTTCTGGTGGAATGGATGGTTTGCCATTTCATCTGCTCTCTGGTCTGCTACTCAAGGAGCTATAAGTCACCTGGGTGTTTTTTGTTTTTTTTTTTTTTTTAACAGCTGCGTAGGTTTTAAAGGTGCAAGGCTTAGGCTTTGAAAAACTGTTACTCTTTTCAAAAATAACTGGTTTCTACCAGCTTTTCTGGAATCTAGACTGCCAGTTGCAATTTTACTTTAATCAAGTAAACAAACGAGAGTTTTAGACTCCGGGCAGCAACTGGAAAATCTGCATTAAATATAAACAAGACAAAATCCTAAGCTCGGAGAGTCTGTTGGCCCAGTGAATTTTGAACAACCCCTTTCGGTACTCTATCTCCCCACCTTCCCTTTTACTGCCTCTAGGTCTCCTGTGGAGTCCCCAGGCAGAAGTCAATGGCAGTAGGAAAACGGAGCTAAAAGTCAAGCCAATTTATCCAGACTTCAAAATACAGTTCATTCCAAGCCGAGCTATCAGGACTGTTCACTAGCTCCCTTTTAGGGCAAACTAAACTACTTTAAATTAAAACGATTGCTGAAAATATCTCCCTCCTTTCCATCCTGAGAAAAAAATCCCGTATAGAAACTGAGATGTCTGTGCCAAAACTGTAAAATATGGCCTTCCAAGTTAGGAATTCTGTCAAAAGAGCCTATTTTTAAGAGCTAAGCCAGATTTCTATTTGAAGTACAATTGATTTCCCCCAGTCCTGAGTCCATTGCCAAGTTTTCCCTGCTGTTTTTGACTGTTAAATATATTGGTATCATTGCTTAAGAATTGCTCGGACATATTGTATTCTTTTAAATCAATGAAATGATCACATTACCTAAGAAGATTTGTAAAATCAGAGCTGGTGGCAACCCATTCGGGACCCCTCCTGCCTCCCAGGAGCTCTTCTTATTCCCCATTCCTGTTCCCCAATAAATTTTCCTGCTCTTAAAAAAAATTAGGACTGGTGACAAGTTACATGGATTAAAGGACTCAGAGAAGCCAGTATCTGCTGTACCAGATCCTAAGTGATACTGTATTGTCTGCTAACTCTCTCAGTGGCCACCAAAGGCATATTTACAGGATAATTTAAGTTAGTATACAGGCCCTAGATACATTTTCATGTGTTCATTTGCAAAGGAAAAAGTTCTGTGCCAAATCGTGCATAGCGCTGATTTCCTGTTTTGTACTTTCATTTGACCTAAAACACTATTTTAAAAGTTTTTTAAATCCCAGAAATAGAAAAATGTCTGAGGTAAAAATAATATAAACACAGTAATGTTTGAGATTATTCATTTAGTCTATTTTCCCATTTCTCCAATATTGTTCTGCCCACTATCAGTGTGTACAACATATTATTTTGCCTGAGAGTTGGTCCTTGACACACACAGGTGACATTTGACAGGCTGGGAAGACTTCTTAGACAAATACCAGCCCAGAGTTTAAATGGAAATGGGCCAGTTAGCAAACACACAATAAATAGAACCTATGAGGCAGAAATACCATGTTCCATTGCTGTTGGGAAAGAATTCATAGTAATAAAACCATACAAGGGTCCACCTGAGAGCTTTTCGAGGCTGAACACAAAGTTTGAAAAAAGCCTTATCAATTTAAAAAGAGAGCCACGTTTCCTTCTCAACAGCTAAGGTTGCCAGATAAACTATTGCAGTATTTAGGAGGTATTATATTTAAAATGTACTTATGATTTATCTGAAATTCAAATTTGAGTGGGTGCCCTATATTTTTATTGGCTAAATCTGACAACCCGATCAACAATAGTGATCGTGCCATTTAGCACAGGCCTCTGCAACCTGGCATCCTTACAGATGATGGGAGTCATGTACTCATTTGAAAAGGAATCATGTAAGCCCCCTTACAAACCTCCCCTGCCAAATAACCAAACCACTGGGCTCCTTGTCCAAACTCAGCTCAAGGAAGAGTCAGTACTATACACCAGTTCCTGGGTTTGCACTGGCCCAGAGAAAAGGGTCCAAGTTGGTCCCTAATGATTTAGGCAAGTCACTGTTTCTTTCCTAATCTCCCCCTTGGGAGATTAGACACCCACCTTACCCTTTCTAGTCAATTCTCCTTCCTTCTGTTCTGTTCACTTCCGCTATTTAATAATCAAATGTTACTGTAGAGTGGCAGTCTGGTGCTTTGAACAAAGTAATTCAGATCACCCTGCTCGCTTCATTTCCCCAGTGCTCACTTAAGATCAAGGGCATCACCATCTTCCTTCACTTAACCTCTCTACACCCGCGACGTGTGTTTCTAACCTGTGCAGCACCTTCCCTGGCCTCAGCTTTTAGCCTCCTCTGGAATCTTCCTTTTCATACTAAGCTTCATCTCATAAAATCGAGTGCTAAATAAAGTGCCCAGGCACGTCCTCTTTGAGCCTCAGCGTGGAGTAGTCGGACACTGAGCCTCTCTTCAAGCAGTATTTGTTTCTTCGTGTGCTATTCCTTTTCAAGTGTTCAACTGTCTTACACAGAGGAAGAAACCTTTTCTCCTCTACCCTCTTAGACTCAGCGCTTGGGTGCAGAAAATTAAGTGAGCAAAAGACAGCAGTGTTTACTGTGTATCCATATGGAGGACTTTGTGGAAAAGAAGTGGAGACTCACCGAAGCAGTTACCTCCAACGAGTTGTGTATCATTTTAACAAGAGCGAGAAACTGGAAAAGTAACTAGGCAAAGAAAAGGCGGGCGGGCTTCTAGGAGGGGCGAACACTTGGTGAGGCACCTCTAAATGCACTGTCTCACTGGAGTCTATAATTATTGCATGATTGTGTTTTGGCTTTGGGGGTTTTTTGTTTTTGTTTTTTTATTTTTTGAGACAGGGTTTCAGGGTCTCACTATGTTGTTGAGACTGACCTGGAACTCACTATGTAGCTCAGGCTGGTCTCGAACTCACAGTGATCCTCCTGCCTCAGCCTCCCGAGTGCTGGTATTACAGGCGTGAGCCACCACGCCTGGCCACGACTATGTTATTAATTTCATGGCTGCCCTTTGTAGGTAGTGAGAGAGAGGACAAAAACGGAGGGCAGAACTCAAGTCCACTTCTGGCTCCAGAGTGTGTGTTCTGTCCCGTGCCCTCCCTGGCTGTCTGTGGGTTTATAACTGCGCCAATTAGTACTGGGGCTACTTCTGCCCATCTCAGGGCCACTAGGCTCAGCTGTGTTCCCTGCTGAGGCCTGGCTTGCCAAAGCCTGGGGTGGGGCCTCCCCTCCCTTTACTGGGTTCCAGGCTGCCTCTGCTGTTTCCTGACTAGCAATATCATTTTCAGCTTCTAGACTGTTACTTTGAAGCCTACCAACACACACTGGACCCTGAGGAGAGGTTTGCCTTAGCACAAGTGATGATTGACATCATGCACCAGCGCCCCAAGTTCGATCTAAGCCACCCTTATTTCATTAAGGCCTACCAAGATGAATGCACCTGCCTGAGGCTTCACCTGCAGCTAGTGAGGAGCATCCTCAACCATCATGTGAGTAGGATTTTAAATATTACATCGCATGTTCAGAGCCAGGCATGGTGGCACACGCCTGTAATCCTAGCACTTGGGAGGCTGAGGCAGGAAGATCGCTGTGAGTTCTGAAGCCAGCCTGGGCTACGTAGTGAGTTCAAGGCCAATCTGGACAACATACCAAGACCTTGTCTCAAAAAAACACCAATTAATTAATTAATTATTTCATGTTCAAAGAGGATAAAAACAGGAGCCAAAAGTGAACATAATATTTTCCTTTCATTGCAGGTCCAGAATCTGGGTTTTCTAGGAAGCATGTACAACATGTTTATTTGTATGCTCATTTGCATTGCTGAATTCCAAGCATAACTTTGGCCTTAAAGGGGTATTCCAATCCTAATTTTCATTAATGGTCCACACAAAACTGATCAGCTCCGTTTTCATTAGACCATGGAGTTTGCCCGTCGTGAAAGAAGCACTAACTAATCATACATCTTTTCAAGACATTAGTGTATAAAGTGGTGTTTATTTTTTTTAAATTGTGCCACTGAAAGAAGCGATCACATTCTGTGTCTTCCAGGAAGGAAGCAGGACACAGAGGATGTTGCAAACTGGTTGGAATTTTTTCCATGCAGTGACTTATTTGACAGACAGAAATTAGTTGTCTTTGCTTTCTGTGGCTGCCACTTGGTTTGGATTTCTCAGACCAGCGTGTTTCACTCCAGACGAGACTTCAAAACAGTGTCTGGGTGAAAATTGGTCAAGTAATAGTTCAGAGGGGTGATAGCCTTCTCATATCAAGGCCAGCTCATGTCTACGGAAAAGGTGGACTCTTCTAATTTTAATGCTTATGCCACATTTTTAGATAGAGAGCCAGACAGAATATGTGCAGAGGCTTTGGTCGGAAGATCGTCCAGATGATCAGAATACATTCGGAATACCCCTTAACATCATTTGTAAGCAACCTGTTTCTATCAGTGATATCAGGTAAGTTGGTGCTATCTTTAAGCGTTTACAGTCAATCTTCTAGAATAATTAAGAGTATGGAGTTAAGTATAAATACTCCTCTATAAAGCACCTCTCAAGTGTTTGGGGAGATGAGAGATACAGGTATAAAAGCCACAGCAGCTGGCCGCGGTGGCACGTGCCTATAATCCCAGCACTTGGGAGGCTGAGGCAGGAGGATCGCTAGCTTAAGATAAGCCTAAAATACGTAGTGAGTTTAAGGCCAGCCAGAGTGACAAGCTAGACCCTAGATCTTGTCTAAAAGAAGACTGAAACTAAAAGCCACAGCAGAAGGATTCCCTTGAACATTGAATCTGTTTGCTTCGTACATAGAAAGAATAGGTGGCTAGAATTTAAGCTGTTGTCATTGGGCGCAGAACTGTCATTCCCTTGAAAAGTTCTGGGGGTGAAAGTAGTTGGTCTTCAAATGCACACGGCCCACATCTACAATTTAGATGAGCTTAAAAGTTTCTCAGGGCTGGGGATTTTTAGCTCAGTGGTTCCACTGCCTGCCTCACAAGCACAAGGTCCCTAGTTTGATCCCTGTAAGTTTCTCAAAAAGAAATTTTGTTAGCAAGTGTCATTAGAGAGGTTTCTGAAGATTTGTCTTGTGATCTCACACTTTAAAGAGCAGAGCTGAATTTCCTGAGACCTCTCAGAGTGGATGCAACATGTGATAACTTCCCTTCCAGGCTTTGAGGGTATGGGAACCAGGACGCAGGTGAAAAGCCCCAGGTAGAGCTGTGTAGCCCTAGATCAGAACTTCTCCATTGCCTTTGAATGGATGGAGAATTTGTCTAGCTCGTTTCAATATCCAGCAAGAGCTTGCCAAGGAGGTACATGTACCCAGGCAGAATGCTAGGAGCTGGGAACACAGTCCTGTGTCCCTGTGATGTGTGCGGTGCGGTAGCAAAGGCAGACCTTATCTAAGAAATGCCTGCGATGGGTCACGTTGCGGACAGGCAGGGTGCTGTGCAAGTTCATAGCTAAGATTCTAACCTTGTTTCTTGAGGAAGAGCTCTGTATTTTTCCCATAGACCTTCCTTCCTCAGGACTGATTGCTTCACGATGATGAGCTTGAGATACCAGCTGTGTGTGTGCAGCTGGGTATGGCAAGAACCTACTGCTCAGACCGATAACAAATGTTGGCCGGGTTATGGGGAGAAAGGAACCCTTCTCCATTGTCTGTGGGAGTGCAGGCTGGTGCAACCACTGTGGAAATCAGTATGGAGATACCTCAAAGAGCTTGGACTGGAGGTTCCATTTGACCCAGCCATCCCTCTGCTGGGTATCTTTCCAAAAGAATTAAAAGAATCATATCACAGTGATATATGCGCACCTATGTTTACAGCGGCACAGTTTGTAATAGCTAAAACTTGGAAACAGCCCAGTTGCCCATCAGTTGGAGACTGGATCAAGAAGATGTGGTTTTTCTATAAAATGGAATACTACTCAGCCATAAAGAATGAGAAAATAGATTCATTCATAGGAAAATGGATACATATTGAGGATATACTCCTAAATGAAATAAATAAGTGACACATACATAAATACTGAATAGTTTCTCTGGTGTGAAAAACTATAATGGTACATAAGATCCTAATGATATAATTGACAATGTGAAATAGGAAGAAAAGGGCTAAAGGTGTAGGGGAAATGGGAAGATTAGGGGAAAGATAATAAGGGAAAAGAAAAAAACATGAAAAAATGGAAATAAAGTGTTTGTAAATGGGGAGAGGAGGAGGGGGTGAAGGGAGGGCAGGGATAAGAGGGAAAAATGAGAACCAAGACCTGTCATGTAAAGGTACAAGATCCCAATGATGAATGTAACTGCACTGTATACCTAAAATGGACCAATAAACTCAATAAGGAAAAAAAAAAGAATCTACTCCTCAGGAAATGATGTTTAGCAGAGCAGGCTGAGACTATATGGATACTAAAACCTGTCAGGATTGTCTTAAAAGTAAATGTTATTTGCTTGATGAGATCCTTTGCAGACTTTGTGCTATATTTGTTAAGATCTAGCACTAAGAAGAATTCCATTTGCACAGATTCGAGGGAAATATTCACAGTCCAGTCTTCCCTGCGTATTGAAAGACCTTTGACTTATGCTGTATTCTTTATTTGCAAAGGAATAACCCACAGGCGAACATTTACTTGCTTCTGGACTCATTCATTTCTAAAGTATAACATCTTTACAGCAAATATGAGTAATTTTGGGAGCTGCATACAGAATTTAAAAATTGCCCTTGTCCATTAACATATTGAGAGGAAAGGATAAAATCTCAAGTGAAAAATATAAACTAACAACCACACACATTATGTTTTTTTATTTAGCCATTTTTATTTACGTTATTTTGTTTTCAGATATGTGACTAGGTATTAATTACTGAGCTTTGACATATTTTGCTGTATACAGTCTTATTCTTATTGGGCTCTTAGAATATACACCTATTTCTTTCAATTTTGAAGGATTCACATTAAAGCAAAGAGTGTGTTGTATAAGCCAGGAGGTTCCCTGAAAAATCACTGAAGTCTCTAAGTGCTGGGTTCTTTGCAATGCTCTGAATTTACAGAAGCTGAGTCATCGGTCTTTAAGAATATAAAGTTCAGCCAGGCATGGTGGTGCACACTTGTAATCCCAGCACTCAGGAGGCTGAGGCAGGAGGATCGCTGTGAGTTGAGACCAACCTGGGCTGCATAATGAGTTCCAGGTCAGTCTCAACTACATAGTGAGTCCCTGTCTCAAAAAACCAA